AATGATTTTTCGACGTTTTTTATTTGAACGTAAATTTGAGCATTATTTGATTTTGAGAAGGAAATTATGCTCAAAAATAAAACAAGAAATTTTATAACTTCGATATTTCGACTTTTGTATAACTAAATTTGGTTTTATTTTAAGAAAAAATTTCTCAAACCAACAAATGAGAAATGATACTAAATTTAAACTATGCACGAAATGTAACACACGTTGGTCAATTAAAATAAATCGAAGAAAATTTCATTAAATGTTTCTTACATCATTTTTCTTATTCAGTAAAACAATAGGCGTGTGAATAAGGGGCAACATGAAAAGTTAAATTAATCTCGTGTTAACCAAGGGGTGACTTCGGCATTTGATGCTTTGAATACTTCATACAAAATCTTTATAAAAAAAAAAAAAAAAAAATTTAAAAATTTGATTAATTTGTTATGTATGATCAAATTTAATCATTATAATAATATTCATTCATAATTAACTGCTCGATCCAAAACGCAAATATAATAACGCAAAAATCGGCTTAATTCACGCGTGAAAACCCAGGCTAATATAATAATATTATTTTATTCATTACTCCGAGTTTGAATTATTTTAATTCCGTGAATTTAATTTGTCGTATAATAAATAACAAAGAACCCTTTAAATCTTGCTAGTATCTATTTATAAATTCGTTGAAGTTAGCAATATACAGTACATCAAAAGAATTTTCTAAAAAATATTTATTTGTACAATAAAAAATAGAAAATAAAAGGAAAAATAATTTACTATATTAGGAAGGATAATTTGATAACCGATTTGTTTAAAAAATGAGGTTGCTGATCTCATTGATTCAATAAAGTACTCCGTGATCAAAGTTGCTACTGCAAATGAACGAAATTACTATTATTATGATCCGTACCATTTTAATAATGAAAGTCAAATTAATTTATTCGACGGCGCAGAATTTTGAACATGTATAAAAGGTTAACAATTTCGCTTGATCTATCCCTCACAATCTAGTGTTGAATAAATTCCTCCTAATTAAAAAAAAAAAAAAAATTTCCCACAAATAATTTTGTCAATAATAAAGAATGAAACTTCAATATTTTCTTCTCATCGCGTTATTCGCGATTTTTATAATCCAAGTTCAAGCCACTGGACATTACAACGATTATGAGGATTGGGAACATGATTATCCCGATAATTGTGAAGAATTATTCAAAATCAAAAATTGTAACAAATGTCAAAAGCTTATGTGGGATCATTTCGAAAATCCTGGACAATGTGCTACAGCTTTCAACGTGGGAAAAAAAATTATTAAGGCTATCAAGGATGCCAATGAAACTCCAAAGCCTTACGATCTTAAATTCTTTGAGAAAGGTGTAACGAGTTACTGCCATCAAGACTTCCATTGTAAACAAGGTGAAGTTGAAAAAATTTATAAAAAGATTGAAAATGTTTGCTCAAAAGAATTATCAGTTAAGTTTGATTGGAGTGCACATCCTAAAACTTATGAAGATAAAACTGCATATGCTGCTTATGGAACTTTACTCGTCTATTATACTGGAATCCCCAGTCGAAAAGCACTCTGTTTAAAGAATGACAATGGCGGTAAGTGATCGAATCATATGTTGCGCAATCATTAAACTTTTATTTACAAGTCGATACGATTAATAAAATTTTTTCCAATTTCAAACAGATCTCTGCAGTATTAAATTCACCAAGAAATTTGTTAAATGGATGAAGAAGGTGACTAAATCAGATCCAGAAGCTATTGTAAGCCATGACTACCGATTCATTATCAAAGGAAATGGAAAGAAAATCCGCATACCAAAATCGTTCCAATGCGATCCATGCTGGAGAAAGATGGCCAAGATTTTCATTGAATACATTGAAAAACATAAATTGAAGAAATCTATTGAAGATAACCTTTGGGGATCTGAACATCACCACGATGATCTTCCACATTGTATTAATAAGCGTGGGTTGGCTCACGTATTTGATGAAAGAAGTGAATCGAATGTTAACAAACGTAGCGCAATGCCCTCCTTTGGTGTTTCAAGACATGCTTTAACAATTTAATTTAGTATGTAGATT